GATTTCGACTCCCGCACCATGCCTGCCTTCGCTTTCGCGGCGAAGAAGGCATCAATGACCTCACACTGTTCGCGCGGGAGAGGCCATTGCCTCGTGACACAATACTTTGTGCCGGGCACGAGATCAATCTCGTACCGTACGCCTCGATCCGGTGGGAGTTGGGTCGGTGGATATTTGTTCACCACGTCCGAATACTCCGTCACCAAAGGATACACCGGATCCTTGGGGTTCTTAAGGTTCTCAGAACCCAAGCGCGTCTGACGCCGCTTGTTCAGGTCTTCCAGGATGTTTTCGTCTAAGACAGAGGAGGCGTTCAGCTCCTCCCGAGTGGTCTCAGGTCTCATGAGTACCATCTCAGCAACCTCTTTAGCCTTGAGGTTGGTCAGGAAAGACTCAGCCGTCATTTCCTCGAGGTTCAGTATCTCTGCAACCTCTGGCAACGGTTTCAAGTGGACACCAGATGCCTTGACGGGTAAACCGGTCTCGCCATCGAAGATGTGATAACACTCTTTCACCGGCCTAGTCGGAGGAGCCCGGGCCCTGGACTCCGAGTCGCTTGAAGCGACGTCGATCGGAACTAAATTCGGATCCGACTTGAGGCGGCGGCGGCGTCGTTGACGACGGCGACCGTGACGTCGAGCTTTGCTGCCCACGTCTATGGATGTCGGCGCTACGACATCCGAGGCACTCGTGGCCTCGTGTGGTACTGTGTTACCCACACAGGAAGCGTGTTCGACGCCTTCTGCTTCAGCTAAGGTCTGGGCGACCACGTGTGGCACTGTGTTACCCACACAGGAAGCGTATCCGACGTCTTCCCCTTTAGTTAAGTTCTGGGCGACCGTGAGTGGAGCGCTGTTACCCACTCTGAACACGCTGTTCTCAGTGTTCGTGACAGCTGCAGCTGTCTGCGGAACTATGTTACCCGCTTGTGGACCTAAGTTACTCACTTGGCAAGCGCCTTCTCTATGCGCCGCCACCATCAAAGCATCCTCGGAGTCGTCATGTACGTCGACGACTCCCAAGCATCTGCCGGATGCTTTGGTACCCTGGCAGCCCTTGCGGGCGCCCCGGGCCCTGACAGAGGTGGGAACATGAATCACCAATGCTCTGTCGGATTGCGCATGGCGGCTGGCACCGATTGCCTTGCCTTGCCTCGCCAGTCGATCCAGGGCTCGTGCTTCTCAAGCCAGAGCATGCCCAGGATCATATCATATGGATCCATATCGAGAACAGTGAACTGTTCGAGGCTGTCAAAGTCTTCAAACTTGACGGCCAGATCCACTTGGACGTTGGGGACAGTGACGACCTTCCCGTCGGCCAGTCGCACTGACACCGTCCCGTTGCCCTTGCTTTCTCTCAAAGCATCGGACAACTTGTTGCTGTTGCGAGCAACCGTCTGGCGGCGTGCGAAATTCTTCGACGCCCCAGAATCGATCAAGATTCTAAAGGGATGATCGTATCCCCGTACACATCCGTGTACTACGAGCAGCCCGCCGCTGCTCTTCGCCGATTCGAGAGTGCGAAGACTCTCAGGGGCTAAGTCCCCGTGGTACGCGCCACCCGCGCGCCCATCACGAAGACTTAGTTCTTCCCCAGTAGGGCGCCCCGCCCCTACTGGTTCCCTGCGTTCCCCTATCCCCGGGATCCTGGCTTCTGCCAGCGACCCTTGAGGACGGGCTTGGGGAAGGACCGTCTGCGGAGTCTTTCCGCGGGACAGTCGCGCTTGAAGTGGCCCATCTTCCCGCAGCCGAAGCAGCGGATGTCACGCTGTTCGGCAGACCCGAGCTCCATGAAAACTGGTCCGTTGGGGCTTGTTTGACCGGGAGCCGACAAGGAACTCGCTGGCCATGGTGAGGCCGGCGTACGCGCCTGGTGATGGATGTACTCTTTTTGAAGAGCCATTTGAATCGCCTCTTCAAAGGTGCTTGACTGCACCCGGGACAGCTGAGTACGTGCGGGACCCAATCGAATGCCGTCCATGAACTCACTCATCTTGATGTGTTCGTTGAGTGGGTTTCCCACAAGGGACGCCGTGAGTTCCCGTATCTCTTGCACATACTCGTGCAGTTCACGCCTCCCTTGTTTACACAAGAGGAAGCGCGAACGCTGGCGGTACTCGTAGTTCGCCGGGAGGAACGCGGCTCGGAGCTGTTCACACAGCTGAGCCCAGGATGTGAAACATCCAGGGGATGTTGCTTCCCGTGTGTACACCCAACTCTTAGCACGGCCGCTAAGGTTGGAGAGTGCAAAAGCAACACGGAGTTGCTCGGTCGAGATCAGAGCCGCGTCCATCGCGAGCTCTACTTCTCGGACACAGAAGTGAAGGTTCTCCCCTTCCTTCCCTTCATACGGCTTAACCTTCAGCCGTATTGGCTTCGGGTGAGGCGGATTTGCTTCCGCCGCCGGAGCCTGCAGGTTCTCCCGCACATGCGCGATGAGGCCCTGCTCGTACGCATCGAAGGCATTGACGCGCTCGAGCTGCTCAGCCGGTGTTGACACCACCAGGCATTGCAGGGCCTCCATCCCGAAGATGCCAGGCATCTTACGAACAGAAGAGCTGTGAGTCGTTCAGGTGAGAAAGGCGTTCCTGTCCAAGGCGACATAACTTCAGATGGTCGGGTACTCTACCCGCATTGGCGTGGATTGACTACAAATGCTACCAGGTGCGACAGACCACACAGCACCTTGCGCTTGAAAAAGTCGCCTTCCAAGAGCTTACAAACTCTTAGTGAGCAGCACCTCTCAGGCCCCTTGTCAAAGGAAATAACTAGCTAAAGGCAAGTGTCGAACTCAATGTATTTATAAATAGGGGTCAATTGCAAACTATAAGTCACCTATAGTGAAGCTATGTGCTGGACCTGGTACCATGTACCAGGTAATCTTAAGTGTGATGGGTCACACTTCATGTAACCTGGGTACACCCCTTTAGACAAGTGTTGTAGTGAAATCAATAATATATCAATCTTTGTTTCCTTCATCAGTCATAATATTTTTCCATTTGATATGAGTCATATCATATGACTGATATGAATAAGCGTTATTAATAGAATTGTCCGTAGATGCCCCGAATGCCCGATTTGTACATCGAAATTTGAGCAAAGTTCACTTTGATGATGATATCGACGTCATTCTTGATGAGGTACATGTATCTTGATGCGGACTGAATATCCGTGAATGTAGCAACATCTTCGGTGTGGTTAAGATACCGGTATGCTAATCACGACCTCGTGCTTGTGTGGACGCACCAGCCTGGTGAGGCTCACCTTGAGCAAGGTTTGTGCTTCTGATCCGACGCCTTGGCGATAGTGCGGGTCGTAATATAGCTGCACAGTATTTGCGTAGAACCCACGGACTGTTGTGTGGCGGCACTGCCACTAGCAGAGTAGATATTGTAGCTGAGGCCGCGTGTTTGGACACTACATGGAAGAAACCGTTTTGGTCCCATCTTCTGACCTAAGGGAATGAATCCTTTGAGGAACATACCTTTAGTGCCGAAGAGGTCACATCACTGGCATAGATTAGCTTCTCTTCGTGTTTTAAGTGGTGAGATAGATGTTATCAGCTTGACGAAGCTCTTACTACGTTGTACTAGTCTCCTGAAGTACCAAGTCCTTTGAGGAGGAGGGTGCTTTTGTTACGAAACCATAGGCTTTATGTCCGTGTACCTATCCCCTAGCTCAATTGGTGCGTCTCGAATGGAAAACGGAATTTATAGATTGCGAAGAAGAACAAAATGGGTTTCTTTCGGTTGTTCATAAGGATTCGAGTTACAGAGCCTACATGTAGACACCTAACATGATTCTGCGGTCAACATCATTTCTCTTCAGTTTCCTCAATATGTATGATTTGGCTGCCAATTTTTCCCGAGATCCTCCCTCAAAAAGTTTCGGCCACTTTTCATATTGGTCTTCTCATTCAGCGCCGTCACGTATTTCACAAAGGTACTGAGCTCGTCGGCCTTTTCCACGTCAGTAATAGGAAGTCTATGCAGCCCAAGATGTTCCCAGACTGTTGTTGTAGACGCCTCTTCCTTGAGCCAGCCATCAACTTTGACTTTCTGGAATATTTTAAACTTCGGATCTCTCGTCAGAGTCTTTCCTGTCACTCCAGCAAGTGCCAGCTTTTCCAGAACGTAGTGGTCAGTCTTTATGTTCCTCATCTAAGACTTGATTCTCCACCTCATGATACCATACTCGAAAGCCGATGGTATCAATCGAATTCTCTGTTCTTCATCGTTTGTCGTGGTCGTGCGCAGTTGCCTTCCACCACAGCCACTTGAGGGGTGGTCGAGTTCTGCACCTTTCGCATGGCGAAAGCCGTCAGCAGCAGTAAGAGACACACAAAGCGCATGCGTTTGGGGGCTTCGTGAGAACCACGCGGTCAAAGAATCCTGTGGCAACTAGCCGAGTGTGCCACATCATGTGGCCCACATGATCGTGCTGACTCGCTGTGACAACTCAACGTTGAACAGAAAATAGTAGAAACACACGCTCATCGCTGGGATAACACACACGGGGCTGGGCGACGTGGTTGCCATAGCCGCGGCGCCAACTAAGGTGCCAGCCGAGCACTACACTTTCCAGTACATTCTATCTCCATATTGCGAGCGCAGCGAACCGCGGGGGCGCCCAGTCAAGCGAAGCGCGGCTGGTCTCTTTTATGCTGTGACATCTAATCGTCGATTATGTCTTATTGCGATACTCAGAAGGTCAAAACAATTCAGAAGTCAGGTCAAATGATTTGCTGTGTGTTGAAGCCGTAAATGGCATGTTGAATGCCTATTACCGGTACTTGTTTGACAGTACCGGTTTAGAAGTAGATACCGGTAGCAGCCGAATACCCTCCAACAAATTACGAAAAATTACTGTTCTAAGGTGTTTAACTATGGGAAAATCACTGTATTGTGCAACACGTCCAAAATATGCGCATTCTTCCTTCCTGCTAGCTCATCTCGCAGCTCTTCTATCCGACACAATCAGCTCGAATAAGCAGTTTTGCAATCAACCTGATGTGCTCCTTAATATCCGCGGAATCGAGCTCTGCATCATCATTCTGTGCTTACCACTCGCGGGAACGTCCTCCACTTCGATTTCGCAGAAATCTTCATCATTGGGGTCATCGTACTCGCTCTCATCTGGTGGATACAGCGGCTCAGTCATCGACATCGGATCATACGCATTTAGGCGCTACATCATTTTAGTTTGCTCGTTGATTACAGAGTCTTCCTCCTCCTCTGGCTCACTGTATTCGCACGCATAGTAGTCGCGTAGACCAGTGTGTTTCCAGAACTTATCACGTATTGAGGGTGACATGGAATATCAGCAGTCGATGCTCGATACCACCCCTTGGCGAACGTCAAACTTGTATAACTTGGTCGCTTTCGACATGTCCATCGCTGGGTCGGCTTCAAGCTGATCAAGACCGCGCTGGATCTGGCGACGCCGGTAACGCTGCTTGAACGCAGCAATTATTTCGGCGTCAAGAGCCTCTCGCTTACTACATGTAGTAGTATTTGGCGGTAGGAACGCCACTTCGACATTTATAATTGTATCAGCGTCGTAGCCTCCATGGACGCTTGCATTGCCGATGATCAGTAAGCACGTGCGGTGCTATGTTCTAAACTTTGTGTCAAGCCACTTGGCAAAAATCGCCCGTGACATTCATGCTATGGCGCTGTTCGTGTAGTTTAGATGTTATCTTTGTAAACTGGGAGGACTGCAAACGCAAGGAATGAAATGGATGTTGCGTGCGCTTGTTCGGTTTACATGTACCATTTCAAAGGTACACCTGGCCACAACAAGATAATGCATCTAGGAATGGTTCCCGACGCTATGACTACCGAAGACATTTTTCTAAATTACCGCGACATCAAAATAGCCTTTGGACAAAGTGATAAAATAAGGAATAAGAAATATTCTGAAACACAGTTGAATAGCGATTGAAGCCTATATTTAGATGGCTTTAAGGCAAGACAATGACTGAAGTTGAGCATTGCTGAATCTCCTACTCTGGTATTCCAGTCTGCAGTTCCCCTTTCAGCTTTCTACACAGTTTATAAGACATGGAAACGTATGTGTTGAGGAGGTCGATCTTTCTTTTCTTCAGTGAGCGAATCGCACAACCATCTAAAGTCGAATAAGAGGCAAGAGTCTGGGTCCACTCTATTATCTCACATGTCGGAATCACATTTAGAAGCTCGTATTAAAACTTGCGCGAGTTAAAATAAATTTTACCGGCAGTCACATTAACTCGCGCGAGTTCTTGCGCGGAGTGGTTTAGAGCGGCCTTTGCAGCTTCAGGTGAATCGAAATGACGCCCAGGCAGACAATGTAGTTCTTATATTTTCTGCTCGTGCTTCTATGTATTTCTCGTTGTGTAGAGACCGAAATTAGCTCCTAAAAAACACTCACAAGAACGACTATACGGAGATGGTCCCCGCCGCAAAACTGTTGTCGGAGAGAAGTAGAAAGCGTTCCGATTCTCAGAGTATGTGGAAGACCGCAGACCCTCAAAGTCAGCTTTAACCCCAGTGAGCTTTTTTGGTAGGATAAATGGGAAGGATCAACTTTTGATGGCCTCTCTTGGAGCAACCAGAGCACAAACTGAAAAAACTTAAGGCTCATCATGACGTTAAGACTTCGTTTAGCAAGGTTCGAGGACCTCAGCCCAAACGCATGCGCATTAATGTTGTAAAGACAAGCTTAAGTGTGACGCTTAATCTTCGCTAAAGATGGAGTTTTATCCTAGTTCCTAGGATAAACTATTATGCGTCGGACTCAGTAGACAATCTTACCGATCGCCGCAGTGGCTTTGATTTGTGTCGGGTGACTCGTCGCTCAAACTGTTCAACCGATGCTTGTGATCTTTTACGTAATGGGGGTGGAGCACGAATTTGCCTGGACTTTGTTGCTGCTTGCTGACATGCATCGGGCAGCTTGGCTGATGAATGAAATTTGTCAAAGCAAGATTCACCGTTCTCCCAGCGTGACGTGTCGCAAAGAGCAACCTTGCATAAGGAGTATTCGTATCTAGTCTTATATCCTAGTCGATGGCGGGTAGTGTTCTCTTCACCATGATCTCGCTCACAGCACAGCACACATCGAAGTTGTTTTCCGGAAAGCAGCAACCTCTGAAGTACCGTAGTTAGTGTCAATTTTCTAGCTTCACAACCACATAATAAATGAGCTGATCATACCTCGTTGTGAAGCTCTCCACTGGACTTTCGACGCTTCCGCCATTCGGGGTCATCGTCAAAATAATCACGTACCCGGTACGCAAACGAATGCGGCTTCAAAAAAAATGCTTCCCAGCTCATTCGCGCTTAAGACATTTGTATCAACCTCAGAAAGCGGCCGTCTCGGTGCATCGATACTGTCGTCGTCATAAGCGTTTCCTCCCAAACAGCTTGCGGCTTCTCCGCAAAAATCTCGAAATGATGCATTTTCACTTTTGTGTTGTTGGTAGTTGCTGTAGGACTTGCACCTATCTTCGTCCATTAAGAACGCGGCTCCCTGAATTAAGCAAAGCATACGCAGAAATGAGTACATGTACACTGTACAGTGTATTGATCGCATGTACAACGCACGCTAAGTAACTGGGCTGACTGGAACGCGTTGTAAACTTAAGTCATCAAAAACCGCAGCCAAATAGCAGCGAGGGGTGGTAAATGCTCGTGCGATGGCTTAATTTTCTTCAGGTACCGGGAATGTACGTCGATTCCTCCTTTGACTTGATTCCAGATCGCTATCACGCTGGGGATTATGTGTTTTGCTGCAGGGAGTGAGCTTCTACGGTCTTCGGTTTTAGCCACAACTATTCGTCATAACGCGAGATGCTGCTTCAGCGTTGATACGTCTCCACAATGTCCTAATTCGGCTACTGTAAAGGGCGGTACGGGAGCGTCGGGTGTGTAGATCCAGTCCATGCATGCTTCTTTGATATTCCGGAGAGCCAGTCGATAAGCATCCACAATATCGTCACCAATTACAACGTGAGCGACACGAAGTATTGCTGTTGACGACGCATACACAAAGAATCCATCTCTTAGAGACCCAGAAATGATGTTGTGTAGCAGCTGAGATCGGTGCCCTTGGTCGGAAATCAACGTCTTCAAGTACCGACTATCAGAATGGGAATTCAGCTCTACAGTTGCGAATTTACCGCATCGCACTGCAATATTTCGCTCTGTGTCGACAGTATTGCCTCTAGTCTTCGTTTTATACTCCAGTACAGCAAAAAACGAATCATTACTAGAAGGCCGAGTAACCAATGCGATATCATTCGGAGAAAATGCCAAATAGCGCTCGTCAGGGCTGTATCATGCATCATTCTCACAAATCAATAATGGTACGTAGCTGTGGCAGTCGTTCAGCGTACCAACAAAGGAGACCATAAGACTTCGTGTGAAGAATGCGGAAGTTTGAGTGTGCTTCAAGAAACCTTGGTACACGTGAGTAAATATTTTCCTCGTTCTTAGATTCAGCTTTCATGTCCGTAGACGAAATTGGAGCTAAGAACCAAGCGCTAAGTAGCGCTGCAGCGGGAGATTTAATCGTGTTCTTTTTCGAATTTGTGTCACTTTCCCCGTTCAAAAGACGGCCGATAAGCTCACGTTTGTTTCCTGACACTGGGAGTCCTTGATCACGACACAGTTGTTGCAACTCCTTGTTTTTCATTGTGCTGAGAGCCGACTCTGATGGAATCTCACTACCAGTTGAAGATCGGGATGCACCCGAGATTGAATCGGTCATAATACCTAATATTTTCTGCACCAGTTGAACGGAAGTCTGCTGCGCCAAGTTGTGATAAACACTGCACCGATTCTCGGAGGCTTGTTCTAGCTCGTCAGGACTCTCAGAAGCCTTAACAATTGCGCGGAGAATCTGAACTGCAACAAGTCCAGTAATGCGAAATTGGCGCATGAGAAACCAGTCGGGAGTTCTCTGACATTCCGTCAGAATAAGCACACGTCTTTCAAAACTCGCAAATTCATTTCCTTGGATGTCACGATGAGCTTGTTGTGGTCTAGGCAATGGAATATACGACCATTTTCCAGGACCAGCCGATTTAAGTGAAGTGTTGCGTAGTACAACACTGCCAAGCCCAGAGCGATAAACCAAAGCGCACATCGTAGAAGTGCTCTCGGTAGATCTGACAGAGTGCTTCATGGTAGCCCATTTTGTAGTTTTGACACCTTTCTCCGTCATCACTGTCTGCCTCTGAGTACCAAGTTTTCCGTATGTGAACGGAAAGCTCCGATCACGTTTATGAGTCCCGATAACTAGCCGCCACACTCCATAATTTGGCGGTTTACTTCCTTGGACTGATATCCACGATCCAAAGCAAAGACAACCCCCGGAAGTTTATTTAGGCTATCCGTGGATACACCACAGAGCGATCGCATCAGAATTCGCAGCACGTCAGCCACGGTCTCACCTCTGGACGCCACATGACTACACAAGAATAATTCGGTGACCAGCGACACGATGCCGTGTTGTACAGGGCCGAATCTAGGCACATGATCGTGTTAGTATATATAGCAACATGTGCGTTACATGCTTACCCTTTTGCTGGATTTCGAGTTCTCGTCAGCCCGAGATCATCAACCGATTCGAGCGAAGTCTCAGCAAATCATCATCCAGACTGGCAATCGAAACTTCGTTTACAAATCCAATTTTGGAGCACACTCGACGAATTGCATCCATTGCTTGAGATAAGTGGCGGTCCGGTGAAAATGGGACATTCCAAAAGTCTGAAGAAGTAGAAATAGCCGCACTTGGGGTCCCAAGTGCATTCAACAACGTGTAATATCGCCTACGATTTATTGCTTTGTTTGCAGGAAAATAGTACCTCTTGTTTTCATCAGCATAGAACTTTGTCGGCGAAATACTGTAGAAGCACAACGACAGCTCCACTTCAAGCATTTGTTTTACTTCATTCACCGCTGCAAACTCGCTGGTATCCAGATTTGCATTTATATGCTGCATTGTCAGCATCAGCACGGTCGGATCTACTGTAGCCACAATTGTACGATGTCCTCAACAGGAAGTTCAGGCTGGAGAGGACGTGAACGTTTGCCGTACATACGCGCCATCAGACGCTCAGCCACCCGGGGGACCTCTAGTCTTGCCTTCGCGAGAAGGTGTTGCTCCACATCATCAATCCCGAGCTCTAATGACGTCTCTTCGACGCATTTCCACTTCGAGATGGTCGAACTATCAAGCTCGCCGTCATCTTCACGCTCTGATAACAATTCTTCAGCATCGGAGTCGGCCATGCTAGTTGGAGCAATCCGCGCGGAATCGCTTGAGTTGAAAGGGGCGATGAAGAGTGAATTTAGACAATTTTATCCTAATGCAAAAGGAGCCATAGGATAAAATCAAGCAGCCTATTTTTGGCTCGGAAATATTTGATCCTTTCTCTTAGAATAACTTTCACTGGGGTTAAAGGAAATCACGAACTTGGGTGAAGGCAGATGAGCTTGGTGTACATGATTATAAGTTATATAGGGGCTTCAACATGCACTCTATTGCGCTTCAAAAACACCAATGTCGATTAACGCTAATCGACCCCAAGGGCTCGAGTTGGCTCTTCCTTTTGTAATCACAGCTTTGAAGGATTGTAAAATATGTGTGTGCATCGTACTAATGCTAATTAGCGCGCACATACGCAGCGCACTGCGGCTTCGGTTGTGACAATGGGAGCAATTGGTTTTGAGCGATTACTCGACGAACCTGATGCAGCCCAAGTACAGAGAAAACGAGCTCACTTTGACCACTACTTCAAGAAGACAAAGCCACAGTGCTCACCAGCCAGTACACTCTACTACACCCAATCTTTTTTTTCTCTCTAAAAAGACGATGCCCAGCCGTGGCTGGTTATTAATTTGATGCTCAGTCTCATGCTTTTAATCCAAAAGTAGTTAAGAAAAATGACTTTATAGTTTCAAATTATAACCTTTTATCAGAAAATGGGCATATTTTGCCCACCTCTGGTAAGATACACATTCTGGTAGCTGATCTTTAGTTTCTGGACAATTGTCAGAAAAAGGGTCAATTCGATGGTTCCAAAATATATTCGGTATTCCGATGGCAGCTATTTGAACGTTCATCCGTGCTATTTCCGTCTTATTTACGAATTTGGTCGCGCTATCTAGAGTTCTCTAATATTTCGGCCGATATGTCGTTTTTATTGGTCCGCTATCGAAAGTTCTCTAATATTACGGCTAATATGTAGTTTTTATTGTACTGGCCAAAACAGTTTGTACCAGGAATTGTAACATCTGTATATTTTGGGCTGCTTGTCATCTAAAATTAAACGGATGAAGCCGTACTGACCCTTAACCCCTTAGTTCCCGGCCCTATTCACGAGGGTATATTCTTAACTCGTCACATATAAGTTTATATGGCTGCTTGTGTGTGGTTAAAAAAAGAAAGCTCAGGGTTTGGGGAGATTACGTGCTAGGACGGTCACCCCACCTCCAAAATAATTCGTTTTATGTAGTCTCAATACGTCTCTTCATTAAGTATTGCTGGCTTGAAAAACATAAGCAGCGCCCTTTTTACTGATAGATCATTTTTTATACTGCTGCAAACGCCCAGCAACGATACGCAGCCAGTTATTTACCAAGGAAAGGAGAGATTTGGTTTTGTTTCAAGTGATTGCAAGCACCCGAAGCAGATCAGCCACCACAGCAAGCAGGAAACAGACCGTGCTAACTACGGTTCATCGCCTTCTGTGTTTCCAGCCGACTCGTCAGCATTTCCGTCGCTCTGCTCGGCGGCGACATCATCACTATGCGCCTCGCCAGCCTCCGATTCTCGGCGTCTACGCTTCTTTCCCGGGTGCGAGGGTGGTGGGCGATGGCGCAGCTTGTGCTCGTTCAGCAGTAGCCGTGGGATGTCCAGTCCATTGCTGATACTGAAGCATGTCGTTCCCTTCTCGAGTTACATTACATAGGTATGTTCCTCAGAATCAACACATCTAAATTTGAGATACATACCACACGCATGATGAAGCGGTTAGCAACGCACCTTTTGTTGCCGTTCGCGTACTCAAGGCAGATTTACTTTGTAAATTTCCTTGGCTGCACTTTGTAGATCGCGCACACTGTACACGAGCGCTGGACACCTTGCTCGCCGATGATAGTGTCAGGGTTCTCCTCTAGCCGATGACTATCATCAACACTTGCCGCGTCACCTTCATACGACTGCCGCACCGATCCTGACCGCGATGGAGAAGGTGCCGTTTTGTCTCGCGCTTGAGTGGCCCTCTGTTTAAATATGCAGCATACAGTGTAATTATGTTGTATCTCAGTAGCTAAACCAAACTGTTTTGTTGGATACATCGAACATGGCGCTCACCTCGATAGTCGCGTAAGTCTCATTTGAGTTAATTGCGAGTAGCTGCTCTATGAGTGTTTCGAAGAACGCGAAATGCTTTGCCGGACATCTGTTGTTAACCTCTCGGTGGTAGCGAAAAACAATATATGCGCTCACCCCATATCGAGCAGTCCTAAGAAAAGCGTCTTGTAGTACTTCCATGTCTTGTAGCATAACTGGATGCTGTATCGCTGCATCCGGAGTTGGTCGTGTACATCGACGCCTCCCATCCAGCGGTGGTAATCACGTACCAACTCCGGATCTGGTACCGGTTGCACCTCGCCGCGGACTCTCCGCACTACGACATATCCAAAAACATGTTAGAAATTGTAAAATAACAGGGACGTCAGTGAAAGTGAGGTGGACTTTCAATAACCTGTGCCGGTTTAATAGGAAACGGAAGTGTACTCACAGCAGCCAGAGCCGACTTATTGTGAAATTGAGGTGGACTTACAATAACTCGTAACGGTTTATTCTAAAAGTGAGGTGGATTTTCAATGAAAGTGAGGTGGATTTTCAATAACATAGGCCTGTTTAATATGAAACTGAAGTATAACCGGCACCGACTTATTGTGAAACAGTGTTGGGCTCACATTAATCTGCGGTGGTTTCGAGTGGATTTCACGTAATGCTCAATCTACAAGGTATCAAAAGTAGGGCGTAAGGTACGCGATGCTTGCTGCTATGGCTGGGTCAGTTTCGTCACCTTGGCGGTGCTGATGCCGACGGCATTCAGGAGCAGATCAACATTTCCGGAATGGAACTTATGTTGTCAGATGCATTCAGCCTTTCTACTACCCTCATTATAGACGGTAATATGTTTTGCTTAAGTCATTTAACATTGTCTCGCTTGCGAACAAAGTCGACACACAAACCGTAGGTACTATATTAATGACGAAGTCCTGTTTACGCTAGGAGTGAGATATACGTAGGAGCGGAGATGATAATGAACACGCTCAACGATGTTGTTGTCGGCTCCAGGAGCCGTCGTCAGTGACGAAATTCGAGTGACAACAAGTTCTATTGTTATGGGGTACCGCCATCTCCATTAATCTATGATACAGTAGCCAAACGAGTTTATTAGCAATTGAGATATAAAGCGTATATGTAACTAGACTGTCATACATACTTAATCATCGGTAATACTGCTACGACCGTCCATCACTGCTACTGAGCTACATGCAACGGTATACCACTCTGGTCGACTTAAGAATCGACATTTGACTCCAGCCGATGTAGCTTCTGCTTCAGCTAACGTATTCAGCCAATTTATACCTTAAAAAGAAAGCTGGTGATCAGGGCTCTCTCACTATATGTTTACTTTGTCCATAAGCCGTTCAGGGGCTATATAATACGGCCCATTCACAGCCTCGAATCCTACCCATTATTTGTTTTTTCGCAGTGGTATCAATTTTTAGCGATATTACGCGAAAAGGATATTTACAGAATCTTTTAATCGGTGCTGATACGGAACATTTAACCAGCTTGTAAAAACTATTCAGAAGCATCGTTTCAGCGACGAAAAAAAATAGGTTTTTTTAGTTGTTACGCTGATACCTCAATTAACAGCTGTAATAACAACCAATCACAACAAATGGCGATTTAACACTAATATTTATGTTGTAAAAACCAACGGTTTAAGCATCATTTAAGCTGCTTCAACAGTGCTCGACCTTTAGCGAAACCAATCGGGTCGCACACTATTGAGCTCGGAATAACGCCATTCTTAATGTACAGCTTGCTCACACGCAGCAGGCGGAAGTTGTTGTCGCCTCCGTGCATTAAAATACACTTCATAATTGTTTTGTAGTGTAACGAAACACTTGTCCAACGTACGACTTGGTGGTAGCTGAATTGTGGCCATCACAACACCGATTAGGCCATCAATGTCATGTGTGGGCTGTCGCTACTGCACATATAGAAGAGCATTGAGGACTCCAAGATCCAAGACGTTCATATCGGGTGATTTAGGAGGCTGGAACTCCATTCGGATGCCCCGGTCATCCTCTTCAGCAGCTTAAAGCACGATGAGCCTAGCCGCTGCGGCGTGTGGACTAGCATTGTCATGTTGGACACGGCTACGACGACGCTTACAGCCTAATTTAATTTTTAAAAAAGTTAAGATTAAAATAAGTAAGCGCGCAGAAAGCAATTACATACCTGGTCACACTGCCCGAATTGCAGGGAAAACCTTATTGATAAGCATTTTTGAACACTCATCTGATGTCATCGAGATGTTTTTGGTATCCCAGACTCCAGCCATTCGGTTGACGGACGTTTGCTGAGCTTGTACACGCTCAACTATCGGCCAAATTCCGATTTGGCCATCAAAATAGGTACGACGATGATAATCGTAGCGTGGCCTGGCTACTGCTGCTAAAAACATAACCTTACCGATGTATTTCTTGCTAGCGAATGTATGATGCGGTAGCGATTCTGTGGAATACATATAATAATGGGTTGAGCCCTTGTACATGTTAAACCATTTTTCGTCGATATGTATTGTGCTTTCTACTCAAAACTTGACTGCCTGATTTATTAATCACCCGCGCTGAATGGCCTATGAAATCGGTCATCCTACCATACATCATACGGAAACATTACATGCGACAGGTTTCCACACACTGCAAGCTCAGAGCAGAGCGCATCGGCAACGTTTCCCGTGTCAGCAAACGGTAATGGATCTCCGATCTAACGTCTCGCCTGGTAGCGCAAGAGGACCCCCACCAGCGGGTGCTGCATCAGCTGATGGTGCACGCTGTGGTGGTCGAACACGTGTATCGCCACATTCGGCCCGTGTATCTCCATATCCGGAGCGTACTCGGACGCCAACGGAGACTACACCGCCCCACCCAGGTCCAATACGACGGCGTACACCTCCAGACCGAGAAGCACT